CGGAAAAATAGTGTGTAGGCCCTTTATAGTTTTAAAAGCAAAAAAAAAATTGTCTTTGCAATATATGAAAGCAATTAATGGAGGACATTTTAGTTAGCCTAAAAAGAATTGTATTTCACTTGGGAAGGGGGTGGGTGGAATTTATGGGGGCTACATTGCAAACATTTTCCCTGACCATTGACAATTTAAATACCCCTGACAAATAATGAGTAGCTTCACAAAGCCTTCACTATGTGATGCCTAATCAGGAACCAAATATCAGATTTTAGTATTCTGATAAAAACCTTATATTATTTCTAACATAATACTTACTTTCCTTCTGATGTACCTGATGTTGGTGTTAATCTGGCTTCATTCTCAATCTCATCAATGTCTTCATCACCTTCAGTTTTCTCTAATGCAGACACATCGTCATCATCATTATCATCATCATCAAACTCATTCTTACTTTGGGACATCTGAGTACTTCCTATCATCTTCTGATAAGCAGCAGTTTCTGAAGAAGGTATATTATGTTTAAATGATTATCAAATCTGTATTAGGCAGTATTTATCTACTATTTATTATTCAGATCATCAGGAAAATGTAACTCAGCTCATTCGGTCAATCACACACAGTGTGGTTGATCTTTAGCTCTGATCTAGTATTCCATGCCATAAACAAGTTCAATACAGCAAATAACAAAAGCAATTAGAGAACACTCAATTGTTTAACTCATGATATAGTCATAGTACAAACCTATATTAGACCAATTTCAACATAATGCTGTAGATGAGGCAGTACTTTTACATCAATACATGTTGTTACTACTAAAGAACACATTGTAGACTCACCTGTTAATTTAACTTTATTTTCAAAAAAGCTATCACCATCTTCGGAATCAAGGTCAATATCTTCAACTAAAAGACAAATCCAAGTCAATAATTCAAATTGCGCTTGCAATAATTTTTGCTCGAGACCATCAATCAAGACCAACAAATTTACTGTTATATAACATGATTTTCCAGCTTTAGTATTGTACACATTTTCTAAGTAACACAAACTAAAAATTACCCTTGGAAGTATTCCTGGAGGAAGCAGCAGCAACAGTGTTTCTTGAGCCTGGTTGCTGTCTGATTGGTGAAGACATAGGAGTGGATTGTAAGGTTGATGAAGAATCACTCAGAAAACTTTCTCTCTGCATATTCTGAAGAATTGACTGTAAAACTTGTACAGCCTAAAGACAACAAAATTTGATGCATGTACTTAACAACTGGAGATATTAAAGTTGCATTCATTGCAAATTTGTGCAATCCCACTATATCAACACCATGAAATGTTTAAATTGCGGATGAGTAACTTCAGAATCTGAAACAAGCCTCCTAAAATAAATAGTTTATTTGTAAAAAATAGAATTTCACAGAGATTGTAGGATTGTTTTTTTGTTGAAGGTCAGTTACGTAGTACATATATTTGTCTATAGGATAAGAACCTTCAGTAATCTTAAATCCAAATCAAAAGTAAGAGCAGTACATGTACTTTTAATATACCAATATCATATTTTTTTTTTCAAAATCAGCATTATTTGTACACATTTTATGTTTTTAGCTTATTCTGGAATTGATGTTTTACAAAATGCAGAATAGGAATGCAACTTTTACAGTGGGTTCTATCATAGACCCTCTAAAAGAGGGTCTATCGTTCTATGTGATGTATACATATAACATGTGCATTTAATAAACAAAATTCATAAAGCTCACTGTGCAACAACTATGGTGCTTTAAAGTGAGAGGGTCGTCACCTGCGTGGGTGCAGGAATTGAACCCTAAGCGACGATAACACACGCTAAAAACGCAAAGGCTCATGGGTAAGACGCTTGTTTGTAAACAATGACACGCCATGGCCATCTGACGCATGCGCAGGTGAAAACTCCCCCGCTTTAATCAAATTCGTAATATCATAGTAAGGATACTTCATCCATCTTGCTAAAAATATCAATAGTTTTTACTGTATTGTTTTGAAAAGATGAAACCATTGCTAAAATAATTTGTGAGACAAACACAGAGTGGAAGTTGTGACACTACAGGGAGGTTGGTGCTGCATTGCACAGCTCAACAGCTAGACATCAACATGCTGATAACCACATCCTGTTGTCCTTTTAAAACGTCTTGTATTACAATATGTGATGTCTTACCTCATTTTCCATAACTGAATCTGAACTGATCAACACCGGTGCAAATGTTGACGCAATCTCAGCAGGTTTCATGACAGAGTGCTCCATTAATTTAGAGAAGTGTCCCAGGAGTTTCTCCCAAAAACTAAGGGAAGAAGAATACATATAGGACCTGCAGAAAATGGGACAGACTGTAACTGTAATGCTGCAAGGCTGCTGTATTTGTACCATGGATAGGACTAATTGAATATGTCAAAGGTATGACAATGACAATGAACATTGACGAGTTTTAGGCAAGATATACTTGTATTACTTGGTGATTGTAACTGATATGATAAATACTGAAAGTTCATACCAGAGATTTGCAGTACTGGCATTCAAGAATCACAGACCTCCAATGGGGTACATTGGTCAGTATGAATTTAACACAATTCTGTTTCAGCAAAATCAAGGTTCATAGAAACTGTTGCCAAATATTCTCCGAATACAGAAATGTTCAGAAACAAATCACAGCATGCATGCTCTGCTGCAAATTGACAATATCATTTTGCATGTATTTTTTCTATAAGAGGTTTGGCACCAAATGTGAACTGTGTATAACTGATTGTATGTATACAATTTAGTG